TTGTGACAGTGGGTGATTCTGGAAGTCCGGGGAAGGCCTGGGTCCGACAATCTGGACTTCTGTCAGTGTAGGCTTGGCTGGGAGGTCACTCCCGGCCTCACTGGAAAGGCTGAATGGAACAGAGCCTCCATCCTCTGTAAACAGGAACAGGCTGAGCCAGCCTGCTGCTCCGCTTCCGGTGTGTCTGCCTGGGAGCTCGAAGGATGAGTCACTGACAGAGCAGCGGCAGCTTCAGCTCCAGCGTCACCAGCCCAGGGGCAGAGTAGCCGTGGAGTTGAGCGGTGGGATTTGGCAGCAGGGATCAGAGTGACATCTGAAGACCCCACATGCTGCAGGAGACATCGGAAGGCCATTTGCCTGCCTGCCTGCCTGACCCAGGATGCCTGGAACTTGAGGACATGGACCTCGCCTTGCAGTCCTTTCCTTCCCTCCACACCACTGAGCCTGTAAGGATCCAGCAGCCAGATATTAGGCGCTTGAGCTGCAGGCATCACCGCTTGGAAACTTCTGGTTAGGGCTCAAGGTTCTGGTGGAAACAGCCTCCCTCCTTTGCTTCAGGTGACCCTTTGTGGTACAGCAAAGCAAAGCCATGGCTTGGTGTCAGCAAGCCTGGCTCCAGTCTCGGATCTGCAGTTACTGGGGCAAGGCACTTAACCTCTCTAAACCTCAATTTCTTCACCCGGAAAATCCCCTTCACCCTGTGCAGGAGGCGAGCCCACGAGGAGCCCAATATTAAATCGTTTGTCCGCCAGCCGCCTGAGTCAGGGTTTCACGTGTGGCAAAGCAGCTCCCTCGCTGTAAACTGCTGGAAAGACAGCCGTTGACATGAGCAGCCGCCTCTCACTGACAAAACAGGGCTGATGATGTTAATGTCTACCTCACGGGGCTGCCGAGGGAAGCAAAGGCAACAACAAGCGCAGAAGCACTTGGGGAACTGCACAGAGCCAGCCCAGAAGATTGTGAGCAAAAGAGAGGGCAGGGCAAGGAGAAGAGCTAGCAGCATGTGTAGGAGCAGGACAGAGGCGACAAGGACAAATGGGCCCAGGACCCCAGTGGTCAGAGCAAGTGGAAGTGTTCTGTTCACTGCTAAATCGCAGAGCCCAGCCCAGTGCGTAGCGAGGTGGACGCAGTAAACACTTCCTGAAGGCCGTGCAAATCACCCTCGGTCTTCCCAATGCTCAGCACATGTCTGGTGCTCAATGGATGTACTTCTGACTCGTGCACGGACGAGCAGAAACGGATCAGAGGGAGGGGTTCCTAGCCCTGATCTCCATTTCAGCAGCTTCTTCCGCTTTCTGACCACAGACCTCCCGCTTCCCACCCATGAGATTAGAGGTTCTTGAGGTCTGTTGAATTCCCCGAAATTATATAGTGCACATTTGAAAATGTAGCTTCCTGGATTTAAAAAAAAAAAATGTCTGATTTCTGCCCAGCAAAATGTTTAACTAAATGCTGCTCTGAAAGATGTGCACCTGCCAGCTGGCCGCGGTGGCGTACTCCTGTAACCTCAATATTCTGGGAGGCTGATGCAGGAGGATCACAAGTTCAAGCCCAGCTTGGACAGCTTCCTGACTTAGCAAGACCCAGTCTCCAGCACAGCAGAAAAAAAGAGCCGATCAGATACCCATCACTTGGATTCAGCAAGCCAAGGGCCTTGTGACTTTTTTAAAGGCTTAAAAATCTTCATTTGTCTCTGATGTCTGCATACTGGGACCTATGAGCCTGTAGTTTTTCTCCTTGCCTTAGTGGGCGAGGCAGTTAAGCTGCTGCCTTCCGTGTGCTAAGTGATGGTCACGCATTCTCAGAGAGACCTTCTGAGCAGCCGTTCTGCTGGGTGGGGCTCACAGAGCTGTCCATCTCTTAAATCTGTCCATCCCACTGCGTCGCATGCATTTAGACCTGACGGGTGAGGGAGGGGAGACCCGGGGATGCTAACGAGGCTTCAAAATATCTGAGCTCGGAACTTTTTAAATTTTCATTTCTGTGAGTACAGATTTGCAGTACATAATGACTACACTTATTGTGGGAAGTCGGTGCATACACGTAGAGAATCATAATTCTCTTTTTCGTCCCCAACCCCGCCCTTCCCTCCCCGCTTTCCATCTCTTGGTCCAATTCCCATTTGCAAAAGAACTGTCAGAACTTTGATCTCTCTTTATTTATGTATTTGCTGCTGTTGTTCTCGTGGTTTTGAGACAGAGTTTCACTATGCAGTTCAGGCTGGCCTTGAACTCACGGTGATTCTGCTTGCTCAGCCTCCCCAGGGCTGGGATTAAGGCATGCGCCACCACATCATCTGGTTCTGATCTCTTTTAAAAATATATTTTCTCAATATAAGTGCTTGCGTCTATATGTTTATTATATATTATTATGTGCATTATATATTATATATGCGTGTGTCTATTTACTGGTGGAAATGTAAGGTATGTAAATAGCCGCCCTCATTTCATCCTCTCCCCAAAGAGCTCTTGTTAACAGGTGGTTGCTACTCCCAATTTTTGTGTACAACACTTACTAAACACTTAAGCACCAGCCACTCGTGCTGCTCCATACTGTACATTTCCAGCTCACTGGTAGCCGCTCATCTTACACCGGGTATTCTCCATCTCTTTAGAGGCACACGTGTACTTCCTTCATTTTCAAGGCCAGTGAGATCAGGCTGTTTTATAACCTTGCCTTTTGCACTCCATACTTTCAAAATTCTCTCCACGTTATTAAATATTCATCAACATAGTCATTTATAACGGCTGCATGATATTTTATTGCAGGCAGATTTCATGCTCCTCGGGCTGGGGTGCACGTACCCCTGAGGACAGAGCCACAGGATAAATGTCACACATCTTCCTGAAGCGTAAATTTGATTTGAAGCTTGGTGGGGACATTTTAATATCAAAATGAGTACAGATACGCTGGAGTGTAGGATACAGAATGAATTTTAAAACAAAGCATCAAAGCCCGAAATTGTGTGAGCTTGCTGTTATTCCCCACAGACCTTCATTCCTTCCCTTCTGAGGCTGTCAGAAACATCTAAACACAGAATTCTAGTTCAAGCAACTCTTTTTATAGATAAGGAAACTGAGACCCAGGGAAGAGAAAGGATTGTACCTTTTTTGGAGGGTACCAGGAATCAAACTCAGGACCTTGCACTTGTGAGGCAGGTGCAGCACCACTGAGCTAAATCCCCGGCCAAGGATTGCACCCTTTGATCTCTTTTTAAATACAGTTCTCTTACTATAAATATATGTATTAATGTGTTTATAGGAAGAAGTTTAGGAAATGTCAGTAAAGTCACCCCTAATCTCATTTCTCCCCCCATAAAGGCTTACATCCCATGTATTGTGTGCAACCTCTATTAAGTACTTCCTGTGTGCCACGCCATGCAGGTATAGCAGAGATTCTGCACAGAAGCCAGGTGACAGCCACACTGGGAATCGCCTTCCTGGTGTGGGTGGGGAACTTACCTTTGAGAAATCACCCTCTGCTTGTGAGTGTTGGGAACCCTTGGCTTTCCACATGGTCCGTCTTCTAATGGCGGCTTACGCTTCTCACCTCTCCGATTGCTCACGTGGGCCACAGCAACTGTGCCCTCCGTGGGTAGGGCCTACCCCCACCCTCAGATTCCAGTAGCACTTAGATGTGCCACTTCATGCACTGAACTGTAAACATGTATCTACTGATTTGTCTCACGAGACTAAGAAAGAATAACGTGTCATCATCATAATCTGCCACTTACTGTGTTCTTACTGTGCGTCAGGGACCACGCCACGTGTTATATCAGTAGGATTCAGAGTCTATTCAGCTTTTCAAAGTTATGTTATTATCCCCCTGTATCAGGTAAGAAAGCAGCAAAAGGTATCCCTTGCGCAGCATCCTGCACTCACTTAGTAAGTGCTTACTGTAGACTTGTGCCATTGGCAGCCATGATAAGCAAAACCTACTGCCACTGCAGCCCTCATAGCACTCCTAGGCAAGTAGAGATGATATCCTGTAGGTCATTCTGCAAACCATAACAAGTGTAAGGTAGCCTGGACTCCATCCACCGGCCTCACACTGAACCTACCTCTGCCACTTGCCAGCTAGGTGACCTTGGTGCAGGTTCCTGTACCTGCTCTTCCTCTTCTGTGAAATGGGGATAATCGCAGTACCGGCTTCCCAGGGGTGCTGCGAAGAGTTACCACGTGAACGAATGTAGAGCACTCAGAGGCCTGCTCCTGCTCGGGTGGAATCTTGCTGGTGATAGGAAGGAGTGGCACAGGGTTCTAGTATGTGTAGAGGCAGGACCTGCTTCCAGTGAAATCGATTGAGCGCTACACCGTGAATAGGAGTTACCTTGGCAAAGTATATGGGAGGTGACCCGGGGGGAGCAGGGTGCTGGAGGGCTGTTCCAAGCAGAGCGCGGGGCGGGCTCATCTATGGCACGCGCAACGTGTGGCTGGAACACGGCAGGTGGGGAGCCATCCAGGGTGGGCAGCTGGGAAGGACGCGCCCGTGGTGCTAATACATGGGTGTCTCCAGCACCAGGCTTGTTGCACACTCTGTCGATTAGTTCATGGGAAAGGCTTGCTGCGTGTGGGAGTAAGCATGTGCGCAAAAGCCTGTGTTGCCCTCCTGTGTTTGCTGGCCATTGTCCCATATGCACAGTGAAGTGTGAACAGCTTTATCCCAGCTGTCAAGCTGTACGCTTCCGTTTTGCTGGCCCCTCGTTTCTTTTCTTTTTTTTTTTTTTTTTTTTTTT